TATTTTGTGCCCCAGATTTGCTCTTTCCTTCTTTAAAAAAAAAACGGAAGAAAGGGCTTTGTCCTGTATGCTAAGCTAAGGTTTTAAAGTGCACTATATTTTAACATATGTTGATTTAAATTGTTGCTGACAACCTTTCTCAGTCTGTTTTATTTCTGGAGAGCAATTTATAATTCCTGTTTGGAGTTGCAGAGCAATGTTAATATTTTCTGATAAAATGACTGCATATTTAGTGAAAATAAAATGGATTTGTTTAATAAGTTCATCAGACAGGAATTTTATTTCACAATTGCCTTATGTAATTCATGATTTTTGGAGAGGAGTCTGTATCAGGCGACAAAGGACTACTTGAGGTCTGAAGCTGAAGATTGCTGCCTTCAGAATCCCACTATTAACAGAGTGTAAATTTCTTTGAAATGTTAATCAAAGTTGGCTGCGTTAAATTACACACATATAAAAAATATTCCCAGCAGTTAACACTCCGTGACATATTAGAATTTCTGTTGCTTTTTTGTGAAAGATTAAATAAATTAATACATTTAAAGCCAGGGAAAGAAGGTAGTTCATGATATCTCCAAGCCAAACATTCTTTCGAATTTGACTCTTTTTTTGGTGAGTGTGGGACGGTTGGGGGGTTGGGGTTGGGGGAGGTAGAGTGATGTCCAGACCTTGTACCAGGCAGAAATTGTGCAGTAGAAACTTGAAAATGAAATGGGAAACGTTGTTCGTTTTGATGGAATGGCCATCCTGATCTGCCCAGAACGTACATGAGTTGTTTTGGGGGAATAGGTCCTTTTAATTTTTTTGTCAAGGGTCCAAGAGTGATGTTTACACTATGCCGATTGCCATGTTAGGATGTTACTGGGTAGCCTGAAACTTAGAAACATAGAAGACAGGAGCAGGAATAGGCCTCAAGCCAGCTCTGCCATTCAATCTGATCATGGCTGATCATCACTGTCAAGGAAATTAATCCCACCCTTCTCCATATCCCTTGATGTCTTTAGCCACAAGAGCTGTATCTACCTCCTTCTTGAAAGCAAACTACTTTCTGTGGTAGTGAATTTGCACGCTCACTACTCTCTGGGTGAAGAATTTTCTCTTCACTTCAATCCTGAAACAATCACCACTTATCATTAAGCTATGTTCCCTGGCTCTAGACTCCCCCACTAATGGAGCATCTTTCCTGCACCTATCCTGTCTCGTCCTGTCTAGTCCTGTTGGAATGTTATTGGTTTCTATGAGACACCCCTCATTCTTCTAAACTCCACTGAATACAATCCTAATCAATTCAATATCTCTTCATACATCTGTCCTGCCATCCTGGGAGTGAATGTGATAAATCTTCGCTGCGTTCCTCTACAGCAAGAACATCCTTTGTCAGATATAAATGCACTTCACCCTATATCTGCTGACAGTCCAGCAGTCGGAGAGCAAAATTCTGTCTGGACTCAGACAATGCACAAGCAATCAGACTATTTCCCTGTCAGCCAAATCCAATGCCAAACCCTTCCCAGGTATTTTAGCCTCCAGATTGTCTACCTTTCTACTCTGAGGCCAGCCAAACCACCTTACATTGTGGCAACATAGAAGCACAGAGTTGCCCAGGGTGTTGCAATTCCCCAGCCCTAACCCTCTTCAAGAGCACCAGATGACTCCTGAGGTGTTGTGCTGATTTGTCACCCAGACAACATTCGGATAGAAATGAGAATCTTTGCCAGAATTCTTCCAAATTGCTTTGTGCATGTTGGAGGCAATAGTGCAGTGGTTATGTTCTTGAACTGATAATCCAGAGGCCCACATAATACTCTGGGATCAGAGTTCAAATCACATCATGGCAGATGATGAAACTTGCATTCAATAAAATAAAAATCTGGAAATTAAATTCTAAGGATACCCATAAAAGAAACTCATCTGGTTCACTAATTCCCCATTTAGGGAATAAAGTCTGCCTACATATGACAGTAGACTCTCAGCAAAGTGGTTTACACTTAACTGCCCTCTGAAATGACCCAGCAAACCTATCAGTTTGATAAGACTGCAAAAATGTCTCAAAGAAATGTAACTGAACAGTCCATTTGGCATTAACCTCGGCAATGGAAACCACAAAGCCAAATCAATAACGCAAAATCTTTCTTTCTAACTTCCTTCCTGAGCGTCTTCACCAAAATTAGGCAAGACATCTCACAGACTAGTCAAGAAGCATGTAGTTATATTCATGGAATTGTACCTTACAGACAATGTCCCAGATGTACCATCCCTGGTTCTGACCTGCGCTACCAGTGGGACAACCCAGCAGAGGTGGAAGAACAGTTGTGTGAAGATGGGTGGTGGGGGGTTATCTTGGAGTCATCAACATTGACAATGCACTCCATTAATTCTTCTGCCATTAGTTCAAACATAGGCAAAGAAACCTCCTGCTGATCACCATGCATCTCCCTCCACACTGCAACCCTTCCATCCCACCCTGCCTTGGCTGAGAATACTCTGTATTGAACAGTACAAAGAGGAATCACTGGAGATGGCTAAGATGCAGAATATACTTTGGGTGGGGAATTTAAACATGACAACCAAAAGTTGTTTAGCAGCAATATTATTAACTGAGCTGCTCAAGTTCTAGAGGACTTAGCTGCTCGGCTGTGTCTGTAGTAGCTGCTGGAGGAACCAACAAGTGTGAAAAACATATTTGACCTCATCTTCAGTAACCTCCCTACCAGAAGTAAGCGCTACAGAGTTCTTGGAAGATTCACATTGAGTGCACCCTCCATCATGTTGGGTGGCATGATCACCCCTTGCTAAATGAGATAAATTTTAAGCAAATATAATAAGCCAAAACTTGTCACCTATGTGCTACGGGTTGTCAGCAGCAGTAGAATTGTATTCAACACAATCTACAAATTGTGGTGTGTCATCTCCCCAAATTTACCATTACCACCAAGCTTGGTTCAATGAGGAGTGCAGAAGGGCATGCCAGGAGCAGCACCAGGTATACTTAAAAATGAGGTGTCAAGCTGGTAAAGCAACTACTTCCATGCCAAACAGTACTGCATCAAATGAACGAGCTAGGCAATTCCACAACCAACGGATCAGATCTAAGCTCTGAGACCCTTTCGCATCCAATCGTGAATAGTGGTCAACAATTAAACACCTCACTGGAGGACGGGGCTCCACAAGCATCCAAATCCTCAGTGATGGGGAGCCCAGCTCATCAGTGCAAAAGATAAGGCTGAAGAATTTACAACAATCTTTTGCCAGAAGCGTCCAGTGAATGATGAAGGTCAGCCTCCCCCAGAGGTCCTCAACATCACAAGTGCTAATCTTCAGCCAATTTGATTTACTCTACCTGACATTCCCATAAGACCATAAGGAATAGGCACAGGAGGAAGCTGTTCAGCCCCTCGAGCCTACTCCGTGATTCACAAGGATCATGACTGATCATCACACCCACTTTCCTGTGTTTCCCCATAACTCTTATTCTCCTAGTGATCTATCTATGTATCTTTGCCTTAAATATATACAAGTGCTATACCCCCATAGCTCTCTGGAAAGGAGTTCCAAAGACACACAACTTCTGATGGAAGAAATTTGTCCTTATCGCCGTCTTAATTTGGCATCCCTCAATTCAGAAACACTGCCTTCTGGTCATAGACACTTCCATAAGGGTAAGCATCCTTTCAGCACTGTCAAGTCCCTTAAGAATCCTATATGTTTCAGTTGGACTTCCTCTCATTTTTCTAAATTCCAATGAGCAGAGTCCCAACATACTAAACCTTTGCTCATAAGACAGTCTTTCGATTCTGAGGTTCATCCGACTAACACTTCTCTGAATGTCAATAAATGGTTGAAAAAACTAAATACTGCAAAACCTATGGAACCTGAAAATATTCTGTCATTAATTAAGATTTGTACTCCAGAACAGGCTGGTCCCCCCAGCTAAGATATTCCAGTACAGACACAACATTGTCATCCACATCCCACCCCCACCCCCACTCCCTGCCCCTCACCCCACCAAAATATGATAATTTGCCCGGGCATGTCAGAAAAAAACAGGACAATCCAATCTGGCCAATTACTGCCTTATCAGTATCCTCTCACTCATCAAGAAAATGATGGAAGAGGTACAGTCAGGTACTAAAGCAGTCTATGTCTAGATACAATGTGGAGATGCCTGCATTGGACCGTGGGGAACAAAGTCTAGATACAACAAGAAATTAGAACAAGTTCCAGGCTTATAGTGACATGTGGCAAGTAGTGCTCACACTGTACAAGTGTTGGGCAATGAACATGTCCAACATGACAGAATCTAGCCCTCTCCCCTTGAATTCAATGGCATTGGTCCCCCACTGTCAACATCCTGGATTGCCATTTTCCAGAAACTAAACTGATACAGTGGGCTGCAAAAGCAATTTAGAGGCTAGGAGGAGCTAGTAGGAACTGCAGATGCTGGAGAATCTGAGATAACAAGGTGTAGAGCCTTCCTGCTCCTCTGATGCTGCTTGGCCTGCTGTGTTCATCCAGCTCTAAACCTTGTTATCTTAGAGGCTAGTAATCCTGTTTTGATTAACAGAGCAGGATCAGTGATGGCACTCTATCCCAACCACTAGCCATCAGTGGCCTGCATCTAAGCATCACATCACATAATAACATGGTGACAACTGAAGGCTTATCATCACTATGATAACACAATTCTCAATGTGAGAATTGTATTTACTGGGGACTAGGGTGTCATGGTGGAGATGAAGGTGTGGTTGATCATATCAGTTGCTGCAGAAATGTCATTGTGAACTGATGGCCTAAAGCTAAACATGTGTGATTCTGAAAGTGCAATTCTGAATGAATTTGGTGATAGTTCTATTCCAGGGAAGGAATTGGAAGGTAGCAGAGTTGAGAAGTAAAAAGAAGATACAGATGGAGAGTAATTAACTGCAGACAAACAGTACTCAGTTGGTATTAATCATTTTTTAATTAAAATATGGTTACTGACATTGTACTCTCCCTTCTAGCTGATAACTTGACTCGTGGAAACAATGGTGGATGCAGTAGCCTGTGTTTGATAATCCCTGGTGGAAGAGTTTGTGCTTGTGCTGATGGTCAATATTTGGATAACGACAACGTTACCTGCAAATGTAAGTTTCCCATTTTGATCTATTCCATTTTCAATTGATATAATATTTCGTTTTTACCATTTTGTGACTATCCTATTATGATAACCTTTGATGTGGAAGCAATGTGATCAGGAAAATTTGCAATTTATTTATAAGGCCTATGGAATTTATAATTGGTTTTAAGAAAGTTTGTAAAAGAAAATTTAAGAGGTTGCATCAATTTTAAAGGGATCAGTTGCAATTTTCTCAGTTAATAAGAAAATTAGTCCATGTGAACTGGTGAGTCTTGATCTGAAAATAGTACCATTTGGAAGGAAGTTAAAATACAGAAGCCAAGTGCACAGAAACAAAGGAGATCAGTAACAGGGGAAGAACAGAGAAGATACATTTACAATCAGCTGTGTGTGTCATACAGATAAAAGTAAATGAAGTTAAAGGAAGGGTTAGACCAGTGATCGTGATGTGAAAAATTCTATGGCAGTGCTTCAATTTGTCAATGTGGCCAAGACTTAAAACCATCAGGTAAAGGAGTCTTCAAGGAACGTGCACCATTAAGACAGCCATGACCCTAGCTAATTAGGTTCTGTAGGAGTATTCTGTTTAAATGATCACTGTCTCAAGGAAGATCAGATGGAGTGGAGATAGTAAGAACTGCCAATGCTGGAGTCTGAGATAACTCAGTGTGGAGCTGGAGGAACACAGCAGGCCAGGCAGCATCAGAGGAGCAGGAAAGCTGAAGTTTCGGGTCGGGACCCTTCTTCAGGACCATCTGTGTTCCTCAGATGGAGTGGAGTTACTTTTGTTGGTGATTTGAAAACTAAAGCCATTGAATGATAAATAAGAGAGAGCCTATGTTCTAGAGGTCCAGTTGGAAAGACTGAGAAATTACATGTGTTCCCACATTAAGACAGGGAGAAATGTGAAGGTGTGTAACCTCATTGTATAGTCAGTTGATCTGCTTTTCCATGATTAATATATAGTTCACACCAACCATAATTCGCCTGTTAATTCACATATAATTCAGGTGATTTCTGATTCATTTTCAACTGATAGCCACAAAAAGTAAAAACTTGCTCGTAATTTCTTCATTTGGGTGAAGGAGGTAAGTTAGTCAGTAAATTGCTTATTTTAGTATACAATTCACCTGGGGGGAGGGGGAAGCATGACACTATTTTAATGATGTTCTTGCCCTTTTGAATGTTAGACTATCGTTCCTAGAGGCAGTTTATTCCAGGATATTAGTCCTTAATCCTGCCTCAAAAGGAAAATGCTGTGGACAATGGAAATTTGAAAATAGGTTCTGACAAAAGATCACTGAGCTGAAAAGTTAGCCCTGTTTCAATTTTTACAGATATCAGCTCACCTGCTGAGTATTTCCAGCCATTATTGTTTTTACTTGATAATCCTGTTCATTAAACAATGAATCCTGTTGTATTCTTACAGTTGGATCTCAGTGAGCTTTGTTATGCTGTTTTATGCTCCGCAATTACTGGCATGAGGCAGATTGGGCACAGTTATTTTGTGCAGTTGTGCTATCATAATGTTTAAAGAATGAGTAGTGAATTGTTTTCCCAGAGCTAGAGTGTTTTATCACCACGGCAGGGATGTCCCACAACAATTATGTGTTTTGAGATTGCTGTTAACCAGCCGTTGTGAAGCATGAAACAGAAAAGCAGTGGACTTTAAGGTATTGCGCAGCTTCATACAATATTTAGGAGGAACTGACACCCTGACATCACACTGCAAGCTGTGCACTCCCTGCGCATGAATTTGCAGTGCCTGTCACTTCACTGCCAGCCATGTTTCAGGAAGATGCCTGAGGGCACAGAACGAACTAAATCTAAAAGGATTCAGAGATAGTAGGAACTGCAGATGCTGGAGAATCTGGGATAACAAGGTGTAGAGCTGGATGAACACAGCAGGCCAAGCAGCATCAGAGGAGCAGGAAGGCTGGTGTTTCAGGCCTAGACCCTTCTTCAGAAATGGGCCATTTCTCAATCTAAAAGGAACACTGTTAGCACCTTCTCCCACAGAGCCAGCCCACTCCTGACCTCTCATTGTTACAAACTGCACTTCTGCCACTGCTTGCCTCCTACATTATCGCTGCTATGTGCTGCCTCCTGCTCATCACCCACATGCCCCCAGCAGGGTTCAAGAATCAAATGTTGAGGGGTCGGGAGCACAGTGGTAAGGAGTTGGAATGGAGTGCTGAAGAGTTGGGAATAGGGAGTACAAGAGGTTGGGAGTGGGGTGACGAGGTGTTGGACACATAAAAATCAGGAGTTTTTGCATAAGGAGCTGGGATTGGGGTGAGAATAAGCCTTGAGTGAGGTGATAATGGGTTAGAGTGGGACAACGAGGGGTCAGGAGCATGGTGTTAAAGAGTCATGGGCAAGGTGACGAATTGGGAGCAGAATGACAAGAGGCCAGGAGTGGAGCAATGGGAGTGGGGCAGTAAGGAGTCGAAAGTATGTCATTGAGGGGTTTGAAGCCAGGCAGCCAAGAGTTGCAGTTTGATATCGTTGAGGTAGTAAATGGGGCAGAGCAATAGTAGATGGAATTTAATTGTGGTAAGGGAGGGCATGATGCATTTTGGTGTTGGCGGGGATCTAATTAGGGAGGGATACACATATTGAATGTTAGGTCCCTAGGGACTGCTGAGGAACAAAGAGACCTTGGTGTACAGGTCCACAGATTCCTCAAGGTGTCATCACAGGTAGATAAAGTGGTGAAAATGGCATATGGGAAGCTTACCTTCATTAGTGCTGGGGCATAGACTAAAGGAGCAAGGAAGTCTTGTTACAACTTTACCAAACATTGGTTAGATCGCAAATGGTGTGTGGTTCTGTTCCCCAAACTATCAGAAGGACATGATTGCACTGGAGAGGGTGCAGAGAAGAATCACCAGGATGTTGCCTGGAATGAAAAGTCTCAGTTATATGGAGAGACTGGATGGGCTGGGTTTGTTTACCTTGGAGCAGAGGAGGCTGAGGAGGATGGGGTGGGGAATCCAGTTGTGGTTTACAAATTAATGAGAGGCATAGTTAGGTTAGATCGTGAAAATGTTTTCCCCATGGCAGATATGTTTAAGGCCTGAGGGCACATGTTTAAGGTGAGGAGAAAGTGGTTTAGAGAAGATTGGAGGAAGACCTTTTCCACCCAGAAGGTGATGAAATATGGAACACTCTGCCTGAAAGGGTAGTGGAAGCAGATACTCTCACAACTATTTCAGAAGTATCTTGATGACAAGTAAAATGCCTAGGCATAGTAGGCTATGGAACAAGTGCTGGAAGAAAACAGTATTTGTTGGGCAGCACAAACATGGTGGGCCAAAGGGCAATATGATTTGATGACTGTAAATAAGGCAACAAAGGTGCGGGGCAATTGCTAAATAAACGATCAACAGCCAGTGGGTGTAAAATAATGGTGTCAGCAATGGGAAGGGCTGAGCAATTACTGGCAGATGGAATGAGGAGTTGGTGAATCCTCTTATTCACATGGATTGAAGTGCCAACCACTTACGGAATGTGAACACAGGTGAATGTTTTATGTTGAAGAAAATTTTTTTTTCAACAAAGTTTATCACATATGAACACTATATACATTAAACAAATGTTGAACAATGAATAATTGAAGGATAGAGATAGACCTGTTTACATACCATGGTACATATTATTTGTGTTCATTGCAGAGGACATTAATGGCAAAAATGTACATCAGTTGTTTCACGTGCTTCGGAATTTGAGTTAGGATAGGGAAGGTATAGTTAATTATAGTGCATGAGGCTGTATTACTTTCCTCAGGTTGTTATTGAGTTTCACAACCTATTGTGTGTGATTGAGAACACCTCAGCCTTGACTGCTCCTATCCTGTTGTGTGGCTGGTGAGTAGGAACTTGTAAGAGCTTCCAGGAACTGGCACTTTCTAGATGCTGTACTTTTTAAAATATGTGCCCTCTCAATATTGTAGCAGAGCAAATACTTCAGCGACAAAGCAGGAATCAGGTTTAAAGTTTTTGAGAAGATTTGTAGCTCGGGTTGTGGATGAGGTTGTAGACTTTCTCGTCGAGCTGGTGTGTTTGGTTGCAAACGTTTCGTCACCTGCTAGGTAACATCGTCAGTGCACCTCCGGTGAAGCATCGGTGTTCTGTCTTGCTTGTTATTTATATGCCTCGGTTTCCTGGGGTGGTTAGCATTACTTCCGGTTCTATTTTTCAGGAGTTTGCATATCGTGTCCAATTCAATGTGTTTGTTGACAGAGTTCTGGTTGGAATGCCAGATTTCCAGGAATTCCCTGGCATGTCCCTGTTTGGCATGTGGTGTTATGGATGTGTTGTCCCAGTCAAATTTGTGTCCTTCTTTGTCCGTGTGTATTGAGACCGGTGAGAATTGGTCGTGTCTTTTGGTGGCTAGTTGGTGTTCGTGTATCCTTATTGGAAGTTTTCTTCTAGTTCGGCCTGCGTAATGGTTCTCACAGTCCTTGTTTGAAACGTCTTCAATCAAACACACTGGCTCGACAAGCAAGTCTACAACCTCAGGAATCAGATTTATCAAGAAATAAAACTGGAAGCAGTGATAGTCAAACAGTAGAATGTATAAGTCAGCAGTCAAAAGCTACCAGCTGAGGTGTTGGAATACGGAGAGTACACTTCAGTGATATTAGAGAGTGTTCTAGACATTGTGATGAGCAGCAATGGCCATCAATCAATGCGGAACAACAGCATGTTTGCTGAGATCTCCCAGTAAGTGTCAGAGAGTGATTCCCTCCATCCATCCCCAAAACCACTGACGGTGATTTAAAATGCCCATGCAACATTTTACACAGGAAATTTTGCAGCTCCTGCTATTTGTTCCAGTTTGAATGTAATGGCAGATAGAGTCAGGAGGCCAGGTGGAAAGTAAAACCTTGTCTCCTTTTTCATCATGTATTGAAGGCTCACCACTGAAGGCCTATCATTTGTTCATTCACTTGCAGAGATTTAAAATGGTCCAGTCAACACCTGAAACTGCATAACTCTCTTC